GGGGGGGGAGACGGGGATGGTGACGGCGGCAGAGGGACATAGAAGAAGAATGGGACAAGGGAGTGGAGTGCAGGCTCCGGCAGTGCGGCTCTGCTCGCCTCCACTCGCTTACACACTTGTTCGTCACGTCCCACTTTATTCCATTGGTACTCGTCTGCGAGCGACAAGTGTCACGCGTGACATAAGCGTGACACTAGCGTGACATTACACGGAAAGACAATGATGGGGCGAAAGGCGATGCGGGCGGGGCATGCGAGAGAGTTTATCTCTCCGGCATTCTTGAGCTGGTTTGTGGCAACAGGTAGACAGACAAGGTGGAAACGGACAGCACGTAGGGGGCACCTACATTGTACCCCTCCCCTCTATTTCTCCCTCTCTCTCTCTCTCTCTCTCTCTCTCTCTCTCTCTCCTCTCCACTTTCCCCTCTGCCTCACTATCTGCATGCCTTCATGCAAAACTATGAAGAAGCAAGCGAGCAGGAACGGTAGGATGAAAGAGAGAGAGAGAGAGAGAGAAGCATAGAGAGAGAGGCATAGAGAGAGAAAGAGAGAAACACATAGAGGAGAGAGCACGAGAGAGAGATGGCCGGTGGGGTGGGGGGATGGAAAGCGACGAGAGGGGGGACAGCGAAGCAGTCTCATCTCGCCTCGCCCTGGAGCTCGAGAGACGTGAGGGTACGCGAGAGACAGAGAGGGAGAAAAAATAACATGTTCATCTTGGAGAGGGAGAGAGGGGGAGCGAGCGAGAGAGAGATAGAGGGGGGGGAGAGGGGAGGAGATAGTGAGAGAGGGAGGAAGGGAGAGAGCGAAAGAGAGAGAGAGGGAGGAAGGGAGAGAGCGAAAGAGAGAGAGAGGGAGGAAGGGAGAGAGAGAGATAGTGAGAGAGGAAGAGAGACAGAGAGAGAGAGATAGACAGACAGAGAGAGACAGACAGGGAGAGAGAGACAGAGAGACAGACGCAGACAGGCAGACAGAGAGAGAAGGGGGGAGGGATAGGCGGAACACGAAGACGAGTCTGTGTGCCTCGCGCCACGCTCGTCAGAGCCGGTGCAGGGGGCCGGGCGAGCAAGAGAGTCCCCTGCCCTCCTCGTTCGAGGACGTGACGGCAGTGACGGCACGTCCGCGACCGAGGCGCTCCC